GCCTGAAGAATTAGAACAGGGTTTTGGGGGTACATTATACTACACTTATAATAAGGAACCCCCCAAAATGGAATAGGTAATTATTTTAGGCCCCTATAATCTTTTAGGGCTGTAGGTTAGGAAACTATAGTCATATTTACTTGTACCTCTAGCCCTGCTTACCAAGTCGCCTGAACCTCGACCTACCCAAACCCTTCGTGCTCCAATGCCCAACCATTTTGGTCTCACGCCTTTCGCTGGGGACCGTGCTCATGACCCGACGTGCTTTAAACTTTTTGGTGTTCTTATAGCTTGGTAGTAACCCTAAACCCTAAACCCTAAACCCTAAACTTGTTGGTGTTCTTATAACTTGGTAGTAACCTGAAAGCTTAACCTTTTATTTTCGTGGCTTACTGGGGAAGTAAGAAATCCTACTCAGAGTTCGGGCTTAGGGTTGAGGGTTTTAGGGCTTGACCGCTTAAGGAGTGAAAGGCATCAGGTAAAGGTTTGCAACATCGGGGTAGTCTGTGGGATGTTATTGCGATGCCCCAGGTGGTCGACAGGATGTTTCGAGGTTGCGGCTTCAGGATCTTAAATAAATTCCTATACTATTCTGTTTTTTGGAGGGGGATCCTTATTATAGTTCTAGTATATAATGGGCCTCAAGAGCCTATTCTTATTATTAAGGCCCCTCTTTTATACGGCTTTAGGATCAAGGGCTTGAGGACGTTTTTTTTCTGAGGACTTGGAAGTCTTTAGGTTGGAGTTTTTCGGTTTCATCGCCTCGCGCGTGTGGGAGTTTCTCCGAAAAATGGGGGGGGGGGGTACCTTATTTCTTTGGGGGGGGGGGGTCCTTATAACTAAGGATCCTACTATTTTGGGTACTATATCAGGGGAAACCCCTATATGGTAGTTAGGGATCTGGGAGTTTCCGCAAATAAGGGGTACTTTTTTTTTTTTTTTGTTTGGGCGGGGGTCCTTATAATAAGGAATAAGGATCCTACTATTTGGGGTACTATATTAGGATGCCCTATTTTCGGAAACCCCCATATGGTAGGGATTTGTACTGAGGGAGCCCTTAACTACTGACGCAGGTTCGGATACTGGGTTATATGTAGACCCGTGATTAATATAATATACCCCGGTCGTTGTTGATGGGCACTTAAAGCATGCAGCATGGGAATGGTGATGGGCACTTAAAGCGTGCAGCATGGTGCTACCGAGTAAGCCAGAAAGTCTGGGTCTCCATGGTAGGATCCCCAATGCAGTCCCTTCCCGACTATGGGAGAGGAGGGGGGGGCGGGGCGGTTGTCCACCAGGCTTCCCACCAGCCCAGCCCCAGCCCAGCCCCAGCCCAACCCCAGCCCAGCCCCGGCCCACCAAACTCAAAGCATGGTTCGCAAAAAAAACTTTCGCCCAAAACGTTTCGCACAAAACTTATTGGCACCCAAACGCTTAACAATTTCTATAAACCCTAAAACCTAAACCCTATGTAGCCCGAAGGAGCTCTGGGACCTGATACAAAACGGAAGAGGAAACCACCCGAACCCGAGACCCCGAGATCAAGATTTGCCGTCGTGCCTAAACCCTGAAGCCCAGGATAGGTCCGCTTCGAGCATAGACACAGAGAGAGAGAGAAAGACAGATATTATATATATATATATGAATATATATATATATGTACATATATATATATATATGTATATACATACATACATATGTATGTACGGTATCTTGCACATTCATGTATCTAGTTTCTTTGAAAGAGAGACGCGAAGAGACCCTGCGAGGTCGGGCAACCCAACCTTGGCGTGGATGGGCGCTTGGCCGCCTTTGGCCGGCGCTATCTGCCCAGGGCCCATTCAGGTTTAGGGCTTTAGGCTATTTGCCAGGGCCCACTCAGGTTTAGGGCTTTAGGGCTTTAGGGTTTTAGGGTTTAGGGTTTTATGGCTTTAGGGTTTAGGGTTTTGGGGTTTAGGGTTTTAGGGTTTTAGGCGTCTTGTTGGGTCGTGTAATGTAGAGGCCTTAATAATTAGAATAAGGTATTTTGGGGGCTCCTTATTATAATTATAGTATACTATACCTCCAAACCCTATTCTAATTATCAAGGCCCCTATATTGGGTTTGGGGTCTCAGGGCTTTGCAGAAGGTTCATCAGGCCTGGCTAGACGTCTCTTGGCATGATGCTGGCGGTGTGCCTTTGGCATGTCCGGGTGCACCTGCTGATCAATTTATGACTCGGTTGAAAACAGAGGAAAGGCAATGGCAACGCAGGATTAGTGGTTCAGCTACTCTATACGATGACATATTTCGATATGAAGGTATTCAATCGGATGCTAGTGTTTGTTTGGAGTGTGCAGGGTTAAGGAATGTGCTTGAGTGCGGGGTGGGCGGGAGTTGTAGACAGGGCTCCTGCTATCGAGGACATCTGGCTTTGTGGCTAAGCCCGCCTCAACCCTAAAGCCCCTAAACCTCTGAACCCTAAGCCCTAAACCGACACAGCCCGAAGCGCATGCCTGATGTCCGCAGCCACTGCAAGCTCGAAGACCAGTTGCATGTTGCAGAGGACGCAGGCAATCTCAACATGAATCACTCCAACAAGACTTGGAAATCACCCTATAGTCCTAAAACTCAAGTATGCTAGCCCCCATTTGCTAAATCCCAGACGACGGCTCCTGGCACCATTGCATGGTGCCAGCTGCTTCCATCATCTCTAAGAGAGGTCTCTCCGAGGCACCTGGGCAGAACGAAGGATTCTCCCCCAGCGATAGAAAGAAATATAACACTACTAGTAACAATACAAAACCGAAATGGTAATATGTGTATATAACACTACTAGTAACAATACAAAACAGACATAGAAATATTAGTAATACTAATGTGGGTAGAATACAAAACAGGAACAGTAATGTTAGTTCTGCTAATGTGTGTAGATTCCTTTAGAGGGTCCTTCGTTACGAAGGAGTCAGTAAGTTGCCATACGGGCTATGTATGGGGGGGGGGAGGTTTTAGGGTTTAGGGTTTGTAAGACTCTGACGAGCGATTTGGGTTAGCGTCTACTAGAGTTTTGGAACCATTATACGGGAATGATCTTAGATATTCAATGAAGAAGCCGTTGTTGTGATGTGATATCGGGGTGTCAGATGCCGACTGCCGACCCACAACTTGCAAACAAGGACGCTTGTAATAGACTTTCTTGTGCCGGTGCGCAGACTGCGTACTGAAGCTTGGGGTTCTATGCCGCATCTCAGTTGATTTGGTGTTTCGCATTCACAGCATGGTACTTCGGTCCCTCTGCCAGCACCCAGGCATTCGAGCAGCTCGGCTATTTGCGGTGACTTGTAGCTAACATCCAATCCGGTGCCTTTTGCAGGGACATCATCGAGGTCAGCAAAGAGGCCAGAGGATTTACATCGAGCAACAAACAAACAACCGGTACCTTTGCTGATGGTCTAATGTAGGGGCCTCAATAATTAACAATACTATTTTGGTGTTCCTGATTATAATGATAGTATATTGGGCCCCAAAACCCATGGCCCTATTCTAATTAATAAGGCCCCCATATTAATATAGGGGCCTTAACAATTAGAGTAGGGTTTTGGTGCCCACTATACTATAATTACAACAAGGAAACCTCAAAATACTATAGGTAAATATTTTGGCTGTACCTAAAACCCTGAAATCTAAACCTTAAACCCTAAACCTTAAACCCCTAAACCCTAAACCCTAAATTACACCGTTTACACACCTCACAGGCGATGGTTTTGGTTGGATCTCTGCATGAAAGGAGGACCCCCCAAGCTAAAGCTTCGAACTCCCGAACCCTGGGTTAGGGTGTAGGGGTTTAGGGCGGCTGAGTTTAGGAGTTTAGGAGTTTCGGGTTTAGGGTTTGGGATTTTGGGGTTTAGGGGTGTAGAGTTTAGGGTGGATCCTGCAAAGGTTCCGACACTGACATGACGCACATCCTGGTGCTTCTCTCCTGTGTCCGTGGCTCAGCACCATGGGCCAAATTGCCAGAAGCTTAGGGTTTAGGGTCTACTTGGAGGGTCGGGGGACTTAGTACATGGTTATTTTATAGACTTATAAGTACTATAACCCCAATTAGGGTCCCTTTTCGGGTACTTATAAGTCTGCTTATTACCTACTTACCAAGTCCCCCGACCCTCCAAGTAGGGTTCAGGGGTTTAGGGTTCCTGGGCGGGTCGGGATGAAGTCGATGGGAGCCCCATTAAAACACGAGCCCCTTTAAAACTGAGTACGCTGAGTAGGTAACCTTTAACCTTTTGGGGCTCTTATCATCCTACTATAATACAAAAGGTTAACCATTTTTGGGCTAGAGTACTCAGCCCCTAAGGAAAGCATACCTCTGAAGTACGATCATGGCACACCAGTGATCCCTTACAAGGACCCTGCTTCCAACACATCAAGAGAGACTTCTGTGGATGTTTGACAGTGTTGGGATCAAGCGTGCCCCTGTGGATACCGTCAGAATCGTACGCGAGTGACCTGAGTTGACGTACGTAATTGAGACAGGGCTCGACCCTAACCCTCCAGGTACGTACTATATAGGGCCCTGGGGGCTCTAGTACCCTATATAATAGGTACCTGGCGGGTTAGGGTGATGACTTCTTAGCCGCCTTGGCCCATGTCGGGGGCGTGTTGGTCTTCGATGTCAGCCTTCCCTTCCTGTCTAGTGCTCTTTGGAAGGACGTCTCTATCGTGCACTTGCAGCCTAATGCGCCACACCGTGACAGCTGGTTGTGTTAGACCATGCAAGGGGACTGATTCTAATTATGCTATAAAGCAGCCCCTATATGAGTCTGTGTTCACGGGAACATTCAGACTAGACTCTAAACGGATATTTCACAAGAGAGCATGGTGCGAAGGCTTTGAGATTCCACGTAGGGTAGACGGTCTACAACCTGGTCACTGGCTATGGCTGGGTAGCAGTGTAGAAGGATATGTCTCGCAGCCCTAGTCACTTGTCTTGTCCTTCTGGCCTGTAGACATTATTTTGCGGGGCTGCGGCTACTTCCTTCGCGCACACTCCGGAAAGGGGCATGGGGTTTTCAAAGTAAAAGGGTACCTTCTGTTGCTGTTGGTACGGCCGATAGCAAACTCGCACGATATTGGAATCTTAGAGTGCCTCAGTGGGAATGCCAGATGATTCACAAAGTCCTTCATAGTCAGCTGCGCAGGTCCCGGATAAGCTATCCAGCGCACCCCTTAACCCTAAACCCTGGACCCCTAGAATAGCCTTGTAGACCTACCTCTTTACAGGATCCCATATCGAACCCTTCAAAGGCACACTCTTTGTACATGTTACATTTATCCTTTAAAAGAAACCCTAAACCCTAGACCCTTATAAACCTTAAACCCTAAATCCTTATAATTTATAACCTTAAACCCTACACCCTCTAAAGCAGACACCAGGCCAGCTTTCTTGGCCTTCTTCCCGTCACTCTTTTGGCGGAGAGGTTGTCAAGCAGCCGGCTACCGGGCTGGACAGTTGAGGCCCCCTTGGTTTAGGGTTCAGTGGTTTTCGGTTTAGGGTTCAGGGTTTAGGGTTTTGGGTAAACCCTAGACCCTAAACCGCGGCAATGCAAGCTTTGACGCCTTTAACTCAGCTCTGTGAATGAAGGCTTGGGATTCGTGAGCCCTTGGCGTAGTGGCGGTGGAGCTGGCAACTTGCCTCCTGCCACCGACCCTCGCATCCAAGGATGTGGGGTAGGGTTTAGGGTTTAGGCTGTTTTTAGGGTTTAGGGTTTAGGGTTCAGTGGTGCTCCGGCAAAACAAAACATGCTGGCCTTCGTTCAGCCAGCCTGCACCAGGCTTGCCAGCTTCGCGAGGGTCTGTTGCAGCCCGAGCGACTCGCGCATTCAGTCACTCCACTCACTTGCACATGTATTCCATTGATTTAAGAGCTACGCGCAACAAGCAAAGAAGCAGGCCCTCGTGGCTGTCTTGGCGAAATCGAGCTATGAGGACACACACTCACTCAGTTACTCACACGCGCACGCATGCACTCACGCACTCACCCACGAACTCACTCACTCACTCACTCACTAACCCGACATTCATCACTGAATCGCTCACTCACGCCCTCACTCCCTCGCTCCACTCATTTAAGAAGTAGACGAAGCAGGGTCTTGGCCACCACCCAGCCGTTGGCAAGGGCGGTATTGACCTTAACACTGCGAGCATCTAGATGAAAATGGGATCGATGGACTCACTTCACTCGATCATTCCTCTCACTCACTCAGTCCAATCGCTCACTCCGGTCACTCATCCGTACTATTCACCCATGCACTCAACTCACCCATTCCACCCTCCATCCCTCCATCCCTCCACTCACGCACTGACTCATGCCGCTCACTCCCTCACTCATTGACTGACTCCTCGCTCACTCGCTCGCCGACCCGCTCAATCCCTCCCACAGTCCTTGTGCCATCTGCACAGACGGCGACGATGTTTGCGTCGCAGAAGGCGTGGACAGGGACCGATATCGGGCGCGCGGGCGGTGTGTGGGGGAGGTGCGGGGGTTAATCAAAACAATGAGCACGCTTCTGAAGAGCCTCGTTTCCCTCGCCGGTCGTGGGTATAGGTTGAAAGGCCCAAGCAAAGGTAGGGTTAAAACTGAAAGCCCTGATGCCGGAACAGTTCAATTTTCGAGGCACTCATGCTCGTGCCGACGCGTAAAACTGCAACCTCAAACTGTCTGACCCTCCCGAAATCATGGGTTAGTAGCATATATTACACAGTGGGGTCTTCCCCTCCTACGGTGGGGGCTTCAGGCATGAAAGCTTACAGGGGCTCGGGACCCGCGATCTTGCTCCACATGCTGCCGTAAGGTTCACATATGGCCTAGAGAACACCGAATCTTTATCGCGCAGCCCAGTAAGCCCTAAACCTAAATGGGCTAAACCTCAAAGCCTAAACCCTTAAACTCTAAGCTTTGTAGAGCCTTAAGCCCTATATATACAATAAGCCCGACGCTCCAAGCCGTAAGCTCATGAAGCTTTCAACCAGATACCATAGGTTCTGCAACCCCGCGATCAACGATTTACTCCAGCCGCGAATCCTAAACCCTAAACCCTAAACCCTAAACCCTAAACCCTAAACCCTAAACCCAGCAGTAGCTGAACTCCCACCCTGAAGGCTTCCAAAAAGTAGTCCTTGAAAGCCTAGGCCTACACTTTTTGCCCATAGGCCCCACAGTAGTTCCTTTTTTGGGGTTTGCTATGGTTTTTTGGTAAGGATTTATAGCATACTATCCGTTACTATCCAAAAAAAGAACTACATGGGTTATAGGCCACAAAGTAGCCCTTCTGTGGCTTATGTTTAGGATCCTATTAGGCAATCCCAAGAAGGANNTATGGGGCCTATGGGTAAAGCCAAAGCTGACCCTGCCCTTTCGTTTTCATCAAAGGCACCCAAAACTCTGCACCTTACCCCAACAAAACAAAGTAGCTCAGAATGTGAGACCCCCAGCCCAAAATGTCATCCAGAAATCCCGAACCCAGAAATGATAACCGCAATTAGGTCGTATACCCAAAGCCGCAATGATAACCCCTAACCCTAGATCTAACACCCGAAATCATACATTTTGTGAAAGCTCCGAGGTTCTTCCACTCCGCCGGTGGCATCTTTTCCCGGGCTCCTCCGACGGCCTCCGCAGCCTGTGGAGATCTGCAGGGCATCTGGGAGTGGCTCGCTTGGGATTGGGGGCTTAGGGCCTGACGGCGGGGAGTTTAGGCTTCAGAGCTTATAGAGCTTAGGGCATAATGGGGTGTGGAGGTTAGGGCCTGGGTTTAGGATGTAACAGTTGGGGCCTAGGGTGTAGGGCTACCTGGAAGGTAAAGAAAGATTGAATTAACTAGGCTGATTTTGCAGGGGTGTATATGGCACTACATGCGGAGTTTCCGCCAGGTGGCCCTACCCCGGAAAGTATAAGAGAAAGTGTTGTTTTTAGGAGCGGCCACTTTCGTGGTGATTCCCATAGTACGGAAAATATATGTATATATATATATAT